TTGATGCAGAGTTTTGTCAATGATGCTTCAACCAACAGCAGTTCTGCAGTGGGGCATGGTATAAACAAGGAAGTACTGTGGGCTTGTAAGAAAGATACAATAATCATGGGTGATTTTAATATGCAGACAAACTAGATTAATCAAATTGGCAAGAGTAGCCTCGAGAGGGAGTTCATTGAATGTATTAGATTGTTTCTTGGAGAAAAATTTTGGCAACCAACCAGGAAGCAGGCTATTCTGGATTTGGTATTGTGTAATGAAGAGGGATTAATTAATTGTCTCACAGTAAAGGGTCCTCTTGGCAAAAGTGATCATACCATGCTAGAATTTCAAATTCAGTTTGACTGCAAGAAACTGGAGTCCCACACTAGTATTCTGGAGTTAAACTAAGGCAGTTATATAGGTATGAGGACAGATTTGGTCGTGTAGTACTGGACAGGAAGACTAAAAGGCAGAACAGTTGATGAGCAGTAACAGATTTTTAAGGAAATATTTAATTCCTCCCAACTAAAATATATTCTGGAGAGGAAGAAAGATTGGAAGAGGGGGAAAACATCCATGGCTAAGCAAGGAAGTTAAAGATAACATAAAGACAAAAATTAAGACATACCATATTGCAAAGGCTAGTGACAGACTGGAAGATTGGGAAACTTCTAAAGTAGGTGAAAGGATTGATAAAAAAAAGTGATAAAAACAGCAAAAGGTAAATTATGAAGGAAAACTAATGCAAAATATAAAAATGGATAACAAAAGCTTATGTAAGTATATGAAAATTAAGGGAGCAGCTAAAGTGCATGCTTGTCCATTTGAGGATGAAACTGGTGAATTAATATTGGGGAAAGCTGAATAGCACAGACAGTGGTTATACTGTTTCAAAATTCCCGCAATGCAGGAAAGGTTCCAGTGGATTGGAAAAATGCTAAGATAACACCCTTATTCAAACAGGAGGGAGGCAGAAAGTAGGAAACTATAGAACAATTAGTTTAACATCTGTCATTTGTCATCTGTTATTAAGAAAATAATAACAGGATATTTGGAAAGTCAAAACACAATCTATAGTTTATAAAGAACAAATTATGATTAACTAATTTATTAGAATTCTTTGAAGGTGTAACATGCAAAGTGAATAATGGGAGCAGTAGAAGCAGTATATCTGGACTTTCAAATGCATTTGATAAGGTGCTGCACTAAAGGTTAATACACAAGGTAAGATCACATGGGGTTGGGGTAATTTACTAGCTAGGATAGAAGACTGGCTAACCAATGGAAAGCAGAAAGTCAGGATAAATAGGTCTTTTTCTGGTCGGCAAGGTACAACTAGTGGGGTGCTACAGGGTTTAGTCATAGAGTTATACAGCATGGAAACAGGCCCTTCAGCCCAACCAGTCCATGCCAAACATAATCCCAAACTAAACTTGTCCCACCTGCCTGCTCCTGGCCCATATCACTCCAAATTTCTCCTATTCACGTACCTATCTAAATGTCTTTTAAATGTTGTGATTGTACCCACATCTACCACTTCTTCAGGAAGTTCATTCCATATGCGAACCACCCTCTGTGTAAAAAAAAATTGCCTCTCATGTCTTTTTTAAATCTCTCTCCTCTCACCTTAAAAATGTGTCCCCTAGTCTTGACATCCCACAACCTAAGGAAAAGATACCTACCATTAACCCTATCATTACCCTTCATGATTTTATAAACTTCTATCAGGTCACCTTTCAACCTCCTATGTTCCAGTGTAAAAGTCCCAGCCTATCCAGCCTTTCTTTATAACTCAAATCTTCCATTCCCACCAACATCCTGGTAAAACTTTTCTGAACCCTCTCCAGCTTAATAATATCCTTCCTATAACTGGGTGACCAGAACTGGACATGGTAATCCAGAAGAGGCCTCACCAATGTCCTGTACAACCTCAACTTGACTTCACAATTCCTATACTCAAAGGACTGAGTAATGAAGGCATGCGTGCCAAACGCCTTTTTAACTACCCTGTCTATATGTGATGCAAATTTCAAAGAATTATGTATCTGAACCCCTAGGTCCCTCTCTTCCACAGCACTACCCAAAGCCCTACCATTAATTATATAAGCTCTGTCCCTGTTTGTTGTACCAAAAAGCAACACCTTGCATTTATCTGTATTGAACTCTGCCATTTTTCAGTCCATTGATTCATTTGAACAAGACCTCTTTATAATCTTAGAAAACCTTCTTCACTGTCTGCTATGCCACTAATTTTGGTGTCATCTGCCAACGTACTAACCATGCCTTCTATATTCTCATCCGAATCATTTTACATAAATGACAAACAAAAGAGGACCCAGAACCAATCCCTGTGGAACACCGCCTGTGACAGGCGTCCAGTCCGAAAAGCAACCCTCCACTGTCACTCTCTGTCACCTGCTGTTAAGCCAATTATGTTTCCAATTGGCAAACTCACCCTGAATCATGTGACCTAACTTTACTAATTAGTGTACCATGTGCGACCTTGTTGAAGGCTTTACTAAAATCCAAGTAAACAATGTCTACTGCTCTGCCCTCATCAATCTTTCTGGTAACTTCCCCAACTCTGACACCAACTATTGAAATCTATACTAATGATTTGGATGCAGGGATAGAAGATGCTATAGCCAAATTTGTAGATGACACTAAAATAGGTGGGAAAATAAGTTGCAATAAAGAAATAACAAATGGGTATGGATAGGTTAGGCAAATAAGCCAAAATTTGGCAAAGAAAGTTTAACACAGATAAGGTGACGTTGTCTATTTTGGTCGAAAGACAACTTATTATCTAAATGGAGAGAAACTACAGAGTGCCTCAGTGTCCTTGTGCATGAGTTGCAGGAAACTAGTATGCAGATACAGCAGGAATTAAGGAAGAAAAATAGAATGTTGGTATTTATTGCTAAAGGAATAAAGTAATTAAGTGTTGCTGCAACTCTACAAGGCATTAGTGAGACCTGACCTGGAGTATTGCATGCAGTTTTGGTTCCCTTACTTGAGGGTGGGTGTAGTTGTATTTAGGTCAATGCTCTGTGGAGTTTGGATGAGAGGAAATCTAATTGAGGTATGTATCATGTTAAAGGGGATTGACAAAGTAGATATAGAAAGTATATTTCCTTGTAGGGCAATCCAGAACAACTGGTCATACTTTTAGGATGGGGTAGCAGATTTAAAACAGAGATGAGGAGAAATTATTTCATTTGAAGGGTCGTGAAATTATGGAATTTACTACCCCAAATGCGGTGAATGTTGGAATATTGAGCAAATTTATGGAGGATATAGGCAGATTTTTAATTAGTAATGGGTTGAAGGATCCCGGCGAGTGGGCAGGAAAATGGAGCTGAGGCTGAAGTGATATCAGACATGATCATATTGAATGGCAGGGTAGGCTGGAGGGCCTGAATTGCCTACTCCTGCTCCTAATTATCTGTAACATAGATGTAATTTCTGCACTGATGTGTAAGCAGAATAAGAGTTTGTTAATAGTTTAGTCTATCCCCTACTACTTATCCAATCAGCTTGGTTGGATTAAGATCATGCTTGTTCTTCACATTTGGGTTTGTTGAGAGGGTGTAAAGCATCAAGTTCCTCGGAGTAATAATAACTGACAACCTGTTGTGGACTTCCCATGTAGCTGTGATGGTCAAGAAGGCACAATAACACCTCTTCCTCCTCAGGTAGCTCAGGAAATTTGGCATGTCCATAAGGACCCTCACCAATTTTTACAGATGCACTACTGAAAGCATACTGAGCTGGTGCATAATGGCCTGGTATAGCAACTGCTCTGCCCTGGACCGTAAGAAACTTCAGAAAGTGGTGTGCACAACCCAGACCATCACAGAAGACAACCTTCCATCCATGGACTCCATTTACACGGCTCACTGCCACGGAAAGGCTGCCAACATCATCAAAGACCCAGTGCACCTTGGTATTGATCTCTTGCAAACTCTTCCACCCAGTAGTAGATACAGAAGCCTGAATACATGCACCAGCAGGTTCAGGAACAGCTTCTTCCCGGCCGCTATTAGACTGATGAATGGACTCTCTAGCCTCAAATCATGCTAATCTTGCTAACGTTGATCTCGCTTAGCGCACACCCTGTGCAATGTAATCTGTGCGCCTCTGTCCAAGTCTTTTTACAATCTCTGATCTTTACATCCTTGCTTACTATGATCTGCCGGTGTTGCCCATAAACAAAGCTTTTCACAGTACTTCGGTACACGTGACAATCAATCAATCAATCATCAAATGCTATTTTCATTATTGAAGTAAAATACCAATTGGAAATTAAAGAAGAAAATTTTGCCAGAGTCCCTTTTTTCTGGACTCTGGGCTATTTTTTACTTGGGAAAGTGATCATTGAAAGAGAAAATGGCACAGCAATTTAGGAATGTTCTTTTGACTTAGCGTTGAAATGATTTTTTTGTTTCATTTTTTCTCAAAATCCCTTTTTCAGATCTTCATTAGAAAATGTGAGAATTCAAGTAGCTGAAGAAAATACCTCAGTTGTGATCATCAGTTGGAGAAACCCCTTGACAATGAACACAAATTTTTGCTGAACAAAATAATGCTTTTGATTTTTATGTTAAATCTAAGGTGGACTATAAGACTTCCTATATAATAAAATTGAAGCCTACTGACTAAAATCAGATGTTGTTTGCTGCTTTGTGGCAGCAGCCTGACATTAAAAAGTGAGGTGATCATGTAGGTTCCCTAAAGAAACTGAATGAAAGATACATGCAATGGACGGAAAGCCAGAAGGACATAGATGTTACTTATGTTTTCTTTCATTGAATATGGTCATGTGATAAAAGAAGCCAGAGTATAAATGGTTTGATTCGAGCAAATGTTGCATTAATATTGCAGAACAGTAATAATGTAGCTGACTTAATTCTTGCTTACAAATTGATCAGGAATAAAAGTTGCTTTATAGCATTATGCCATTCCTTTGGTCTACAATATTTTATATTTTTTTCAAAAATGCAAGAGAACCTACTTACCCACTCTGCAGAACTCTCCCTCCCAGCCTGGACTACAGCAGCATTTTCCTGTTGGAGTACAATGTCCATTTCTACAGAGATGTGAGCACTCTGATGTTACTGGCTTTGGAGGCTGTACTGATCTCTTACATTCTTCTGGAACATTAGCTCTATTTTAAAATAAAGAAATGCCAAACATTTATGTTATTTGGCTGAGAAGTGTGCTGCGTTATACCTCCGCTGATTTGTCAGATTTTATTTTCGCGAAGAATTCAATCACTTTGCTCAACCAACAGTGTGCTTACTATCTTTTAAACGTAAAATTTCAGTTTTGTATTAAAATCTTAATTGAAATAGAAAACTTCTCAGCCTAGAAATTACAGTGTTCAAGATTCACAAACAGACACTGCATTTGTATGACATTATTTTGTCTACCATTTCAACTTAGAGTTTAAACAATTTATTTCAAATATATTAATGGCTTCTTTTGTGTACTTTCATACAGTGACATTTCTAGATCTAAATTCTTTTATCCAGATATATTTTGCTGCTTAAATTTAAATACAGAAAGTATTTAACAGACTAACTCTGTTCCCTATACTTAAGGAATTGAAAAAAATAACCCCAATATTATACTCTAGGCCTTAGCTAGAAAGGATAAATCCCAAATGACTTTGTGACGACCTTTTCTTTTTGTTTCACAGAATTTGGGACCTATGGACGTGCAATTCAAGATCCTTCTGTTACTCCACACTTCTGAGCATCCATCATTTTTTTTATTGTATATTTCTTTGTCCTTTCCAAATGCATTACCTCACATTTCCTCAGATGAAATTCCATTTTGCCATTTTCCGTCCACTTGATCATTCCATTGCCATCTTCATTTAGTTGATGGCTTTCATCCTCATTATTAATCTGATGACCAATTTTCACATTATCTGCAAACTTCTGAATCAGGCCTCTTACAGGTCTAACCAACAATGGCAAGGGGCCCACTATTCAGCCTTGCAAAACCCTCCGCAAAACAGCCTTCCAATCACAGAAATAACTCATGCCACTGAGCCAATTTTGGATCCAACTTCCAATTTTCTCTTAGATCTTATGAGGTTTTAATTTGTTGACCAGTCTGCCATATGGAACCTTGTCAGAAGCCTTGCTAAGATCCAGGTACAATGCATCAAACATGGAACATGGTAAACAGTCCTAGGAAAAACTGCAAAAGAGTCCTGTCAATGGCAGAGATGACAACAAATGTGACATTACAGAAGGAGTGGTTTCATTAATGCCTCCCTGGAGGTACTGCTCCAGGCTGGAAAGGCTCACACACCAGTTCATCAAAACAAGAAGGCATGTACAGAAATTGCTGGTAACTTGAGCATCCATGGGTGATCCCACTTAACATGGCTCCAATTCTGAGCAATGACCTGATATGTTCCGGCAAGGTGAGTATAATGTTTACTATTAGGTTTACAGGCTTAAATGTGACAAGTGCAGACAGTAGTCACACTATAGCTACAATACTGTTAATAGTTTTGGTCCTCTTATCTAAGGAAAGATATAGTGGCAATGGAGTAGACCGGAGAAGGTTCACTAGTTTGTTTCTGGATATGGATGGACTTTCTTACGAGGAGAGACTGAGTAGGTTCTTCTCAATGTACTCATTTAGAAGAATGAGCGGAGCTTTACTGCACATGTTGTTAGGGGAGAGTTGCTTCCCTTGTGGAAGATTCTAGAACCAGAATAAGTGGTCACCCATTTAAGGCAGAGAGGGTAGTCAACCTGTGGAACTCTTTACTGCAGAGAGCCGTTAAGGTTGGGTTGTTAAATATATTCCTGGTTCAGCTGGATTTTTAATAAATAAGGGACCAAAGATTATAGGAATAAGGCAGGAAAATGGAGTTGAGAATTAATATAATGGTATGATCTCATTGAAAGGTGGGAAGACTCAATGGGCAGAATGGCCTACTTCTACCTCTACATCATATGGTCTTCCAGTCTTAAGATGGTAGCTGCTGCCGGTAATGAGATGCACCTGAGGTGAGGACCATTGCTGCATCCCAGGCCAGAACGAATGATGTTGAGGGTTTGCATGGGGAAAGGGATTGGCAGCAAAGGCAAAGTAGTAACTCTCAGCAGAACCCCACCACCTCCAGAAGAACCCGTTAGTAATCCTACATAGATTTGTTTATTGTGTTCCCCCACCTGTATGGTGAGCTCCATACCCACTCATGACTGGATTAATATCATTAGCAATGCAATGGAACCCTTAATTGGACATTAATAATGGACTTAACTGGGGTGGAGGTGGGAAGGAAGCAGAGTTCTGACCCGCCACCTCCCCTGACACCAAACTTGCCAAGGGGAGGCACAGAATTCTGCCCAGTGAGTTGAATAGATGTAAAACTGTTGTGAACCACTGGATGCTCTTTTATCATGATACATTCTCTTTCTTAGGAAGTCTGGATGACTTGCTTCCATTCCAGCTCAATAGTCTCTGAGATAGCTGATAAATTGGAATCAAAGGCTGGCAGGAAAAATGGTAACTAAACAATGGACAGCCTTCCATAAAGCGATAGGAGACAGTCAAGGTATATTCAATCAAAGAGGAAAGGTAAAGCAAATAAAATTGTAGCTCCCTGCATGATAAAAGAAATAGGGATTTAGATGAAAAAGAAAAACTATGTTCACAATACTTACAATATAGCACAAATATAAAACAAGTATCGTAAGGATTCTATAGCCTAGAACCAGGCTGAATGTGAAAGGTTCAGAGAGGTGAGAAAGCAACCAAAAGATGCCGAGAAAGACTACGAAAAGAAACTGGCAGCTTACATAAAAAGGAAGGCTGCAGTCTTTTATAACATATAATTAGTGAAAGAGAATTAAGAAGACAAGTGTGGTTCATTAAGTACCAGAAAGGAAATTTATGGGGACATAACTGAGGTGTGAAATGAATACTTCTGAGTTTAATAAAGAAGATGCTATCAAGATCCTGGTGAAAGAAAAAATAATTCAGACACTTGAAGCATTTAAAATTTATCAGGAGGAGGTATTGGATAGGCTATCTGGCCTTAAATTTTATGAGGTACCTAGACTGGATAAGGTCCATCTAGTGGCACAGAGGGAAGCAAGAGTAGAGGTTGCTGAGGCATTGGCATGCAGGAAAAGGAAACAGGACAAAAGAATTTCAACTCAGTGCAAAACCAATTGACTCCTCAAATATCAGTGTTCCACTATCAACTTCTTTACAAAAAAAACGAGACAGCCTTTTAACTTTTATCTGTTTTTGGACTCACTTCTTATTTCTAATCTGTGTGTGTTGTAACTTTTCCGTCACACATTTACTAATTAATAAACTCACTTTTTTGCTAAATCAAGAGAGCCTGATTAAATTAGCTCCTTTTAAAACAAATTCATTTGGTCTGTCAGAAAGGCATCTCTAATGGAGGGATCCATTTTAAATTAACAACGTTGCAACTAACTGAGAAGATGAGTGAATAAAGAAGCACAGCCATTTTATTCCTCCTCACTTGGGAGCTTGAACAATTTGGAGCATTCATCTGGAACTGTAATAACTTGGGTAACATGCCGGGGGCCGGGTCATAACACTAATCAGCTGAGTACTTTCAGTATTTTTGCTTAAATTTGAGGGAATGAGATTGCTGGTTTTCATGAAAGGCTAACCAGGGGACCACTGATTGCAGAAGGAATTAAATAGATTGCCATCCCATTGAAAAAGGTCAAAAAGACACATAGGCAAACAATTCACCAGCTTAGTAGGTCTGGGGAAGAAACCTGGCTTCCTGTGGGGAAACTTGCTCATTTTAAACTCAATGCTGGTCTGAAGGACAATTATAAATAATTGATTCAATTACCAGACATAGTATGGTACATTGTTTTATTGTGGTGAATTTCACCAAGGTAAGGGTGCTGGCACTTCATTCACACCACACTAGAAAAATCAGTCACAAGTTAAAAGACTTTTAAAAAGCTGACTTGCATCAATATTACTTGGTGGGAAACCTTAAACTCACTGTGGGACTTCAGCTTCTCAGTGAAGAAAGTCCTGTCCTTGGCAGCTGCTGACTAATCTGATTAACTGACGGTTCTTGTGATCCAGTGGTGCTAGTATTAAATAGCAGACACTGCAATGACTTCAAACTATCCTATGAAGAAGGCGGCATAGATACAGGTCTCTAGCAAGTCTGGGACTTATGGGCATGGAGAGATTAGGCATCCTAGGAAGGGGTAGGAAGGCGCTGGAGACTTGGGTCTTAAAGGTGCGGGAAGGAAGCACAGAATGGGGGTACCATATTTTGTGGTGGTGGGCGTGGGTGGAGTAGTTTCTTAATTAGGTTAACCCAGCTATATTCTTGATTATGCATTAGCTGGCTGGGGGAGAGGGTGGGGTTAAAATCCAATTCCTTATTTCTCTTTTTGCAAGGGGGTTCTTTTGACTGATGAATCAAGGCAAAATTTATTTTTTTAAGCTTGCTGTAATGCAATATAGCTTAATTATTTGTCCATGCTCTTGTCTCACTGAATATTTTAGTCTAGTTTTGAAAGTCTGGAGAATCACAAGGGTGTAAGTGAAAGACATAATCTCCTCATTGCATTGCAAGTGACTAAGAATGTTATACTTCCAGCTTAAACTATTTAAAATAGGCAGATGGTAGAATTTGAATTCAATAAAATATCTGGAATTAAGAATCTAATGATGACCATGAATCCATTGTCGATATTCGGAAAATCTAATGTCCTTCAGGGAGGGAAACTGCCATCCTTACCTGGTCTGGCCTACATGCGACTCCAGACCTACAGCAATGAGGTTGACTTTGAACTGCCCTCTGGGCAATTAGGGATGGGGAATAAATGCTGCCTAGCCAGCGATGCCCTCGTCCCATTAATGAATAAAAAAAAATACATAGGCACTTTCCTAAGTATAAGGTACTTGGACCAATTACTGTAGTGAACAACACTATTATACCTGAGAATACCCAAGACAAATCCAGAATTTGGTACAATGTACTACTACACAAATCGACCATTTCCAAATTAACAAATCAACATACTGTTAGCTTGTGCACAGTAGAAATTGGATTTACACAGGTCAGTGTAATTTTACTTAGGAGCCTTATAAAATACCAAATATTCTTCTCATCAATCTAGA